CCCCCCCCCCCCCCCCCCCGGCGGTCTCTCCTTCTCCCTCTCTCTCTCACGCACACAGTCCAAATCGTGAAGTATAACGAGAAAATTTTAAAGGTACTAGCTACCCCAGAGTGGTTGGCCATTGGAGGTCCAAAGGTTCAGTCAATTATATATTAGGATATCGTTCTGTCCACCAACTAACAATTTAAATATATAGATGCTTTATCCATGATCATATATAAATACAAAATTGCAGAAAACTGCAAAAGAAAATGTAATTGCAGGGAAATGGAAAACAATTGAAATATTGGCTTCTCCAAATTGTTTTTATTTGTCTTTTCTATTAGCCTGTAACAAAACCTCAAATGAATGTCAAGAAGTTGCCAATTATTACTAGAAAGAAAAAAAACAACCTACTAATATAAATTAAAGTCAACAATTGAAAACCTTAGAAACTTGTAGGATTTTATATTGTTATTTTAGTTATATACATATATAACTGAATACCAAGTTGTGCATGATCATTCATCATCCATACTTTGCGACGAATAGTAGAAAAATAACAAAAAATCCACAGCTGTTTTCAGTAATATGAGAAGATAATAGCATTCAGATGCCATGAATCCTCTTTCTGTACATACAGATATTCAAGGAGAATCTATAGGTTATTTATGTGTAGGATGATAACTACTTTGAATGGATAGTGTACAGATACATGTAAACGTATATGAACAATATGTATATGCTGTTAAATTAAAAGCGGAACCCAAAAAAAAAAAAAAAGATGAACAAAACTCACAAAAAGGGAAGGCACAAACTCCAAACCTTCATGCATATATAAGTGTCTAAATACTAAGCAATCTCAGGAAATAGAGGGTAATCCAGAAGTCCAGACCACAGTTGTGCTCCTCCATAGCTCGATGTACTACAAGCATCTCCAGTAATAGTATTGGAAGTCTCAGTCATCGGTGGGACTGTGGCGGCTGGGGATGGAGATGGAGAAATAGTTGGAAGCCATGGGGAAGAGTGTGAATTTTCTCCTTGATTAAGAACGCCAAAATGAGAGCCGGCCTGAACCATGTCCCTGTTTAAAGAAGTCTGAAGGCTGCATGTGGCCTGTAAATCAGGCATATGGGAGAAAGGGATTGAATCAATAATTGCCTGAAAATTCGTATTGTTGGCAAGAGAGGGGGGTGGGGTAGGTAGTTCCAGGTAGGGTGTGTTTAACACCATGTTTGGACTAATGGCATTTAGATTATTTTGGAAAGTAGCTTCCACGGAAGCTTGAGGTTGAAGAAGACACTGCAAATATTGATTCAGTCTGGCCAGTTGGACAGCTTCATTCTGAAATCTCATGGCCTGATCCTCCCAAGAAGGGTTTTCAATGAGTTCTTTGAGGTTGGCCAGGGCTATGAGATGAGGCAAGCTCGAAAAAATTTCAGTTCGCGGCCGGTGAGTCATTGGATCAAATCCCATCTGAATCAACTTCTTCTTCAGATGAGTGTTCCAGAAATTTTTTATCTCATTATCTGTCCTTCCAGGCAGATGTGTTGCAATTGCAGACCATCTTGTTCAAAAAAAAAATTATAATAAATAAAAATGTAGATAAATTAATATTCCTACAAATTACTCAAAGCTAGGAGCAAAAATTACTTGTTTCCGAGGATGGCATGGAGACTGAGAATTGTCTGCTCCTCTTCTTGAGAAAATTTTCCTCTTTTGATATCCGGTCTCAAATAATTTGTCCAGCGGAGCCTGCAACTCTTTCCACATCTGTTAAGACCTGTAAATACCACAAACGTAAACACACTCATTAGAAAAATTCTACTAGGCGGGGAAGGATGTGACCGGACGGGACGGGGTGGGATAAGAGGTAACCTACCAGCAAGTTTGGGGAGGGCTCTCCAGCTGCCATGGCCATGTTTTTGGATATGTTTGATGAGTTTGTCATCTTCTTCGGGGGTCCAAGGACCTTTCTTGAGGCCACTTTCATCACAGCAAGGGGACCTTCCCATTGTTTTCTGGACCTCGAATAATTACTTACTATAGGTTTCCTTATGATTTGGTTGCCTCCTAAAATCCTACCAAATAAGCCAAGGCACTGGGGATTATATATAATGCTGTGCTTCCCTTTGTCCTTATGTTGTATGCCTCTGGGACATTTCTTACCTGGGTGTCCCCACATAACTTTTAATCTTGATATTACATAAATATCCTTTCCTATTTTTTAATGCGAATTTTTAAATAGTATAAATTATAAATAAATAGAAATGAGTTATGATAATTAGGTATAGGTGTAAATCTCACGAAATATATGAATAAAAAACGATTTGATAAATTATAAACGACAGCCAATCATTGGCAGCACTAGAGGGATTTGGTCTATCGGCAACCAAGAAATAGGAATGTCAGCAAATTAATCTTTTCCCTTGTGCAAAAATTGTAACGGAATTCTCTCTCTTAAGTTCATGTATAGAGTCCTGCACTAGCTAGCAATTAGAAACAAAACAATTCTACGTAGCATTATACTTTGTTTTAATACCTTTGTCCGAAGTGGTAGTATATTCCGCCCATGTTTGGTGGGAATTAAAATTAGATTTTTAGTTAATTTTAATAAAAATTTGATAAAATGAGTGGTTGAAAAATTACGAGTCTCATAAAATGTAATAATTAGTTGTTTAACTTTTATTTAAATTAAATCCTGAATTTTAATTTCTACCAAAGAGAGGCTAAATTACTGTTTTTTGTAAAACTTAAGTGCTTGCTTGGCTAAGCTTTTTAAGTGATAGAGCACGATCCGCTGTAAAACTAGTCACTTTCTTATTTTATGATTGATAAAAGTAGATCGAATTTCATGCAACAATTAATGAAANGATTGATAAAAGTAGATCGGATTTCATGCAACAATTAATGAAATGATCTGATCAACCTGCGGTCGTTAAGTTTTTATCCAAACCAAACAGGGGCTGTAATTCATTTTTCTCTATCTTCTTATCAACCACACATTTTTCAATAAAATAATGTTACAAAACCCAAAATTTTTCTTATTTTTAAATTCTTCAAAAATATATTATTCCAAACATTAAAATGACAAATGATGGGGATCAAACGGGGGCTAAAAGAATGTCATAAAAGTTATGTGAATATAAATGATGTTTGATCAACTTATAATCACTTAAAAGATTTGCTAAACATACATTTAAAAATTAAATCTAAATTAAAGGTGTGCGAAAATCCCTAAGTAATTTCAAACTACCTACTAAGCTGTAGGATTTGGCGTTGATTTTTATCGATTTATGTTGAGGAAATTGCAGAGGAATTAAAAAGGGTAGAAAAGTTTTGATCTCCGACATATGAAACACATCATAGTTGTAGGTTAAATCAGCATTGAATCAAACTTGGAGGAAGAAACTGTACAAATAACATCCATCGAAAAAGGTAAAGTTCTAACATTTCAGGTTAAGAGAAATGATTAAATCTCTACAACTGTAAATTACAGTTAAAGATCAAACGTGTACAATATTTATTATCAATGACTAACTCATAAATCATAGCAGAAAAGGGCCAAAAGTATGAAAGTCGTCATCAAGAACAGGTGGCGGATGCACTCTGGTCAGAGGAACACATTCCATGCACGCAATAGGGGGCATTATTTCGTCACTGATTGCATATTTTGCATGGCAATTTATATATACAGTAAAAGTTTTACGTAGAATATATATTCATGTTCACTGATGGGTCCTCCATTTCTGAGAGTTCTTTGTCATCTTCAGCATATTCTCTGTTCCTCGAATTGATTTAAACTGGGTTTTCTCTGCTCAGGTATCGATGATGCAGATAATATATATATAAATTTTTTTTTTTTTTGGTTAATATCTAATTGTGTACTTTGATGATAAGATAGTTATGATATTGCTATTAGTTTTAGGTTGTTAAGATATAAATATAAATATAAATTTATATATACTAGATTCAATTTTATAACAACTTAAATTTTTAAATGATATATATGAGAGTTTGCAGAGTGTTAAGATTTTGGGGTTCTATCTTAGAAAGTCGATTTTATTAGGAGGAGAAGCCAAAACTCTTATAAATTGATCTATATTTTGATCCTCAAATCTTAACTCGATATCAGAGCCCGTTAAGCTCCAACGAGCAATTCGATCCGATTAAGACATAAAAAAATTGAACACACGGATTTCAAGATTTGTTTGCTCAAGCGAGCCATTATCTTGTGAGTGCATGTTAAGGGATAAAATCTTACATCGAATAAAGATGAAAACATAGACCAATTTATACGGGTTTGAACTACCCCTTCTAATAAGGTCGATCTTTTAAGATAAAGTCTCAAATCTTAACACAGAGGTTGTGTTTCAACCATCAGAATACTTATTCATTACAACTTGAAGTAGGCTTTTGTTGAGAAAAATGAAATTGACTTGTACAACGCGCCGAAGATATAAATAATCTTTTTTTTTTTTTAACATGACGACCTCATTTTTTTTCCTTATCTATTGACAAAATGAGTGAAATTAGCAGAGATAAAATCAACGATGTTACGACTATGACCTAAATTTTTTGAAGATATTAACTCTCCAATTGGAAAAACGGTTGTTTATTTAGTTATGTTTACTCTTTTCCTTCATAAAAAAGTTGGATTTTATGTGGAAAAGGTCAGACAACTTTTCACAAAAGTAATGTTCAAGAAAATAAGTAGGATGGTGATTTACACGATATTATCTTTTGTTATTGTTTTTACAGTAAATGTTAACGATCTTATCTAAAAGCTTGATTTATTAGAGACAGTTTAAAAATTTACAAGCGGATTAATTTTTAATCAAAGAGATGTCGACGTACACACATTTTTTTACAAATAGGTAACAAGAAGATTTCAAATTAGGTCTTTTGTGAAAGTTTAATACATGTTAATCATCTCATCGAAAAATTTAAATGTGTAAATATGAATAAAATATATTTGTTTAAATTTGGACAAATTACTTTTCTACTTCAATAACATCAATGAATTATTTGAGGCATTAATCCTTGATGAGTAATAGTGACAGTATAATTTTCGTAGCTCTTTGTAAACGATTAGTTAATACCAATGACTTTTTGCATGTATAGTGAAAAAGAAAGATTGGCATAAATCTCTCTCTCTCTCTCTCACACACACACACAGAGAGTAAGGCTGTCCGTGGGTCGGTTCGGTTCGGTTCGGTTCGGTTCTGAAGAGACCCGAACCGACCCAAAATTTTCGGGTATTTAATAAATGGACCCTTCGGATCCAAATATAATTATGGAATCGTTTGGGTTCGGTTCGGTTCGGGTCGGTTCGGTTCCGTACCATAATCAAATTTTTTAATATTTACAGTAACACTACATAAATACAACTAATGGCATTTCATTCGTAACTTTTACAAATTAATGTAATTCAATTAAAAAAACATATAAATAACTAACCGTCCAATAAGATTAATT